ATATATTCTGTCACAGGTGGCACCAAAAGATTGTTGGAACTGAAATGAGTGAGGGTTCTGCTCTTACTTGGTCCAGCCAATCTCCCAGATGCCTGACCTCCAAGGAGAAGTGAGGAGGAGCCTCCTCTCCTCAATCTCACCTCCAAAATGCCTTTGTCAGAGACTCAAGCACAGTTAGCTATGACAAAGGACAGAAAGCCTCCTCTGAGAGCTTCCCTTCCTCAAACCACCACCAGCCAGATACCCAGCACTCCTGCATCAGGGCCAGCAGCAGGAATATCCATAAGGTTTTCACCCAAGCAACAACCAACAAGTTTCACTAATGCAGATTTGTAAAGAGGGATGTGACTCTGGCAGGACTGGAGCATGGCAAATGGCAGCATTCACCAAGCACAAGAGTCAAGGGGATGATGCCAAAATGACATTTAATAACTAGGTCTTCCTGAAAACACCATCTCAGCACAACTACAAAACTCACTGTGTTTACTGAATGTCCTCTCATAGTGTTAGAAAAGGATACCAGCAATTAGCGAAGGGGGCTAGAACACAATTGCTGTACATGAGACAGGACCAACCCCAGACCTCTAACACCAACTGCTGTTCCATGCTTGTAGGAACTGCATGAGGGATGGCTTGTTGCTCCCAGCACTGAAATGATGTACAGATAAATCATTATGTTGGACCCTAAAACAAGGAACCTAACTACAATAGCACAACATCGTGACTTCACCAGAAAATCACTATACCATGTCCCCTCCAGAGAGCCAGAAGAGATGGGGGCACTGTTTCTTTACATCTGTCCCATGGTCCCCTGGGAATGAGCACAGAGGAGAGCTCAGCATATCTGGATAAAAAAATAATAATAAAATAAATAAAATTAAATTTTTTTAAATTAAAATAAAATAAAATAAAATAAAATAAAATAAAATAAAATAAAATAAAATAAAATAAAATAAAATAAAATAAAATAAAATAAAATAAAATAAAATAAGACATCCTCCTTCCTCATGCTGAGGTGTCCCACACCAGGCTGATTATAGGGTCTGGACAGAGAGGTCTCATTTTGTGGTAGCAGTATGGCCATTGTGGGATGCCACAGCTGGAGGAGGTTCTGCTTTCTGATCCAAATCTGGCTCCAGGGGCCAACAACCATGGCATGGATTGGACATGAGATGAGGAGACAGATGCTCCATGCATCCAGCACTGCAGCCCAGGCAAGGCGGAGACATCCCCCTGGGAGTCAAACGCCCATGCCACAGCTGTTTGGTGAGGGAAGGGGCTTTTCTCCATGGATTCAGCGACCTGAAACTCTTCAAATGCTTGAGAGCTCCTGTAACCGTTTCAGGGACTTTGGCAGGAGGAGGGAGGAAAAGCTGTTCCATAAACCCTGAGGCCATTGCACCTCAGCTGCCTAGGTGACAGCCCCAGATTGCCCTGGTTCTGGAGTATTTCACTCATTCTCAGCTCTCCAATGCCCCATAAAACAGAGCACATCTCCCAGTGGTCCTGCAAGGACTCTCATGGGAACCGACTGAAAAGCTGAGAAACCAAGGGAGACTGAAAACACATCAGCACCTTGCAGGTCGCAGGACATCATGGACTTGAGGCTGTGTTACCAGCCCAGAGCACCTGCTGTGCTCAAACAACGCCCCAGAGAAAGTTCTTAGCCTTCGGCACCCGTCTTCCCCTCCCACAGCTGCAGCACCAGGATCACCGCCGGAGTCTGCACCGTCCCATTTTCTGTACCCTGATATGAACCCTTCCAATTAAACCACTGAACTGTTCCCAGCTCAGCCTCCCATGCATGAAAACGTCCTGTTATTTTGCACCTGCCAAGAGCAGTGTCCCAGCAGATCTATCTTGAACTGACACTTGAGGATAATTAAACCTCTCCTCCGTTAGCAGCGCAGCAGATAAAAGGAGAGCCCTGGGGCCCTTGCATCGCTGTTGCGGTGGGTTGCTCCTGTACAAGTCGAGGAACATGAGATGAGTCTCAGTTTTTCAATAGAGACATGGGCAAGGGAGCAGGGGGCCAGCTTGGCAATTTGCCCTAATTTAGGAGAGGAGCAAGATGTAAGAAGCACGCAGGTAGCTCCTCTAGCCGGGCAGATCTTCTGATGAACAGAGAGCTGGAAACAAAGTGTCTGGGATCAAATCGAACCCCTGTTGTTGCTACACCTGGGGTATCATCCGTCGCGGAGCCAGCAGTCCCTAGGGAGCCAGCTGTGATGTTCCAGGCACTCTTGTCATCCTCTCTAGCTTTAGTTCGAGCAAGGACTGGCTCCCACTGCCCCCACTAGCACCACTGGGGCCAGGTGCCCCACGGTATCAGCCCAAAGTTGGCCGGTTTCGGTGAGCAGGTGCCAAGATGGGAACGTGTCACCTCACTCCACGCTCTGCCTATCTCCCGAGCCAGCTGCCTGAGGTTGCTGCACGCATTCAACCTCAAAGCCGAGCTTCGATCGGGGCGGTTTTGAGGTTGGCACTGAGCATCTGCCATGGCTCCGAGCTGGGCCTCCAGCCCCTCCGGGCATTGGGGGTCCCGCGACCCTATCTCTGCCTGCCCCACGGAGCTCCTCACTCCGCGGGGGGACCCTGCCCTCATCTCAACCCCGCTGCGAGGGGATCGAGTCCTGCTTGCCGACTGATGCGCTGCAGAGCCGCAGGTCTCCAGGGACCACGGGTGTCCTCCCTGCCTCCGTGGGGATGGATATTGTCCCCCGACAAAACCCCATTCCGGCGCCCCCGATCCCCTCCGCCGCCGTTACCTGCGCGGGCTGGGGCGGCGGCCGGGCGGGACGCGCCGCGCTGCAGCTGGGCTCGACTCCCCGGGGCTCGGCGCATCCTCCGCCGCTCGGGAGGGCTCGGCCGGGCTCCCTCG